AATAAAAAAATAAAAAATTCACTGGAAACCAAGTCCAGTGGGTCATTGTTTTTTTTACTTTTACGGAATAAGTAAGTAGAGCACATCAGACCAGTTCTAAAGTTCTTCCACTGACTCTGTGTAGCTCAGTGAATAGACTTAAAAATCCTTCCGTTAGTCTAGAAATCACTGACTGGCTGAGCTTCAGAATTCACTACAGACTTGTTGGCAGGTGATCAACAGCCAGACCTCTCAGGTCTGCTGGATCAGCTCTACTCAGCAGAACCAGAACCAGACATGGAGAAGCAGCTTTGAGTTTTATCCTCAAATAATCTGGAATAAACTCCAGAAAACAGTAAAAACACTGAAACCCTCTGTTGCTTTAAATATAAATAAAAAATGTATCTAAACAATAATATTAGAGCACAGTATTATTAAATTACCTCTAAACAACAGTATTTTACTTTTCTTTGTGTGTTTTCCTGTTTAATTTTTAATGGACCTGCCACCACTTTACTGTTCATAAGATAATGTATATGTAAGTCACTTCAAATCTCTCATTTTTCCCCCAATCCACTGTATATGCTGGTGAAGGTTCCCAGTCATCCAGGTCATAGTCATTCCAAAAATGTAAAAAAAAACAACAACAATCCACTGGACCCGTTCCTCTGGTTCAATTTGCATTTTCTCTAAGCCAAAACAATTTTTTAAGTGGGCTGGAACTTAACACTAATTCTGACATTTTAATTGAACAAGCTTCCTGGATGGGAAGTAAAACTTCAAACTTGGAAACAAAGTCCACTGGATTGTAGTTTTTTACTTTTTGGAACATCCACTGTATATTTCTGGATGCACTGTATTTACTTCATGCATTTTTTCTTTCTTTATGCACCTCCTGTTGTATATAACAGCCAATGTCACAAGTGAATTTCTCCATTGCGGGACAACAATAAAGTACTATTCTATTCAATTCTATTGTATTCTATTCTATGAACAGCACGTTGATTGTCTTTCCATTGAAATGTGCTACGTAAATAACTCCGCCTTGGCCATTGAGAGACGATCTGGCGCAGTGGCGAGGCCTGGTGATGAGAGCTGAGGGAAAATCTGAGACCACCTATTAGGATGCCAGTCTACTAAGACTGGTTCTTTTCCCATGAAGACTTTTATAACGGCAATTCCTGTTTAGTAAAAAAATCTGTGATAAATGCTGTAATAATCGTACTATAATAAAAACAGCGCTGTCATAGGTGGAGGCACTTTACATACAGTACTGTATATCCCATGCACCTTTTTCTTCCTTTGGCACATTCTTCTCCTTTGATTATTTGAGCTGATGTAATGACAAATTTCTACACTGTGAGATCAATAAAGTCAATTAATCAATCAATAAATGAATCAAATATATCTAGGTCTAAAGTTTTCTTTGTCCCTCTGTTTACCTCCATGTTTCAAAGCTGTGTGGTGGTTTGCTTTTAGCCCAATGAGTCCAGCAGTTGTTGCTGAATCGTATCAGGAACTGTTATCAGTCCATTTAACTGATTTGACTTTTGTTTTGGTCCCATTATGAAAACGTTTATAATATACATATATTATATCTATATATCTATTAATTCTCTTTTTTTCTATTATCTATATATACATTCTATTTTAATGTCCTTTGACAGAGAGAAAATGAGTCACACCATACAAACTTTATGTGAAAATAACAGAGGAAATGCACCAGAAGAAGAATAAATGAGGTCATAGTGTGACCTCATTGATGTAGAGAGCTAGCAGGTTAAAATATGTTTTAAAGTAGGCAGTGAGGCAGCCTTTATAGTCAGTAGGGTTATTCTACAGTTTAGGAGAATCCTCTGAGCTTCCTGCAACATCTAGGAAGTAAATAAACCTGTTTATGTTGGGAGCTGGAGAATATCCCATCTTTCTCCAGCAAAGTCCGCCGTGGATCCTCTGAGGGAGCCTCCTGCACAGCTGCAGCTCGTCAAGATCATCAGAGGATCCACTACATAAGCTGTCTTCAGACCTTGCCTCAACGCCGCAGTGTTGTTCCAGTTGGAAACCTGTGCCTCCTCTGTGAAAGCTCTGGAAGAGCTAACCTGCCGAGCCGACCCTCTGAGCCAAACCCTGAAGATTCACAGAGAACCCCCAAGCAGCTCAGGACTAGAGCTGGGAAATCTAAGCCAAGGTCTGTTCAAGCTAAGACGCGAGACGCTGAAGCAGCAAACGGACTCTGCTGACAAACTCTTCTCCAGAACCAACAGTGACTCTCCCAAAGTAAACCTCAAGAACCCTCAAGGTACAAACAGTGAACCTGTGGAAATCAAACCCTGTCAGCAGTCACTAACTGTGCTGTCTCTCACGCAGACTCCGGTGAACCAGTATCCAGGCCCGAACCAGAATCAGTACATTCTGTGTGTTTTGTGCTTAAATAAACTGTTCAACTTTTCATCCTTGTGTCCGTCAGTGGTGTTCTGCATAACTGGGTCTCCTTTAGTGAACCCATCATGACAGAACACTGCGGCCAAACTCAAGGCCCAGCAGATCACCATCTCCGTCGACTAGAGGAACAGGCAGCCCAAATTCATGGACACGGCCTGGCTCTACGTGAGTTAAATACCCACATAGAAAGACAAAATCAAGCCATTCAAGGCTACGTTAACTACGTGAACAGCGCTAATGCTGCGTCTGTACAGCAACCATTTCCGGGTCCAGTCCCACTTCCGAGGTCACAGGCTGTGACGTCATCAGAGTTCCGTCCTAGTCTCCCAGAAAGATTTTCTGGCAACATGAAGGATTGCAAAGGATTTCTTTTTCAATGTCGATTGATTTTTCAGAACTCCCCTGGCTGTTTTTCCACGGATCACAAGAAGATAACTTTCATTCTCTCTCAGTTAACAGGAAGAGCCTTGGAATGGGCTCAGGCAAGATTTGCCGCTGACGACAGTTTACATTGCTACTACTCTGATTTCATTGCTGAATTTACCCAGGTTTTTAACCAAGAAACAGACCAAACAATTGATTCTAGAGCCCTTTTCAACCTTAAACAGGGAAATTCTTCGGTGGCAGAATTTTCAATTAACTTCCGGGTTAAGGCAGCAGCTTCCGGATGGAACCAAAGTGCCTTGAAAGGAGCCTTTTTCATTGCGTTAAATGAACAGATTAAAGATGAACTTGCTAACCTCGATGAACCAGCCACCCTCGAAGATTTAATTCGCCTCTCCATCAGACTAGATAATCGAATTCGAGCCAGAAACAGTTCTAAGAAGCAGAGTACATTTTCTTCTGCCTCACATAACGTGACTGTTTGTTCTTCCTCTACAGATCAGTTGCCTACTCAGAGGTCTAAACCCCAGTCTCTACCATTACCCGTTCAGGCCTCTCATTCTGGCGAAAGGGATGTCGAACCAATGCAGGTGGGACACACCAGGCTCACTTCAGAGGAGTGACAGAGGCGCTTCTTAAGCAAATTATGTATCTACTGTGGTGAGAGCGGACACTTCATCGCCTCCTGCCCGACAAAGTCAAAAGCCGGGGCCCGCCAGAGGATCTGAGGAGTCTGGCGGGCCAAATTAACACTACGAAATCTCCTCGACTGTTACTGCCTGCCACACTTTTCTGTGATAATCAAAGCCTTTCTTTTTCTGCTTTCGTCGACTCAGGCTGTGAACGGAATCTAATCGACTCAAACCTCGTTCAGCAACTCCAGATTAGAACCATTCCTCTCTCTCAACCTCTCAGTGTATCCGCTATAGACGGAAAGAGACTCCATCGAGTTACCCACCAAACCCAGCCCCTCGAGCTACTTCTGTCAGGTAACCACCGAGAGACAATAACATTCTTTGTTTTTCCCTCTGCATGTTCCCCGCTGGTTCTCGGGTTCGAGTGGTTGGAGAAGCATAACCCTCACATTAACTGGACTAAACGTCACCTGGAATCATGGTCCACTTCGTGCCACGAAACATGCCTTCGTTCTGCTGCCCCCTGGGTGGGGTCTCCTAGAGGTGGGGGGGAGATGGACTCTCCTGACCTTTCTTCTGTCCCCTCTGAGTACCATGACTTAGCCCCAGTCTTCAGTAAGGTCAGTGCGACGTCCCTACCTCCACACAGACCATACGATTGCGCCATTGAACTTTTACCTGGTGCACCCCTTCCTAGCAGCAGATTGTATAACATTTCCAAACCCGAAAGAGAAACAATGGAAAAATACATCAACGAATCACTGGCTGCTGGAATAATTCGTCCTTCATCCTCTCCATTGGGCGCCGGGTTCTTCTTCGTGGGAAAGAAGGATGGTTCCCTGAGACCTTGTATAGACTATCGAGGTTTGAACCAGATTACAATTAAAAACAAATACCCACTGCCTCTTCTCGCCTCTGCTTTTGAACCAGTACAGGGTGCTACAGTGTTTTCCAAACTGGATTTAAGAAACGCCTACCATCTCCTTAGGATCCGTGAGGGCGATGAATGGAAAACTGCCTTCAAAACACCCTTGGGTCAATTCGAATACCTTGTTATGCCCTTTGGTCTAACTAACGCTCCAGCCTGCTTCCAGGCCCTAGTAAATGATGTTCTCAGAGACTTTCTCAACGTGTTTGTTTTCGTGTACATTGATGACATTCTCATTTACTCCAAGGACCTTGATGAACACAAGAAACATGTCCGACTTGTCTTACAGAGACTTCTGGAGAATAAGCTGTTTGTGAAAGCCGAGAAGTGCGAATTTCATCAACCTTCAGTCACCTTTTTGGGGTTTGTGCTCGAGGGCGGCCAGGTAAAACCTTCTGAGGACAAGATCAAAGCAGTCTTAGACTGGCCTGTTCCAGAGAACCGAAAACAACTTCAGAGGTTTTTAGGATTCGCTAACTTCTACCGCCGGTTTATTAGAAACTACAGCCAGACCGCCCTTCCACTAACCTCCCTGACTTCTGTTAAACGCACATTTCAGTGGACCCCCGAGGCTCAAGCAGCTTTTGAGAAATTAAAATCCTTGTTTTCCAGAGCACCTGTCCTTATTCAACCTGATCCGACTAAGCAGTTTATCCTAGAGGTGGATGCTTCAGATTCTGGTGTTGGAGCTGTCCTATCCCAGAGGCTCGACTCAGATTAGAAGATACACCCTTGTGCTTTTTTCTCCCGTAGGCTCTCCTCCGCTGAACAAAATTATGATGTGGGTGACCGAGAGCTTCTGGCTATCAAACTGGCGTTGGAGGAATGGAGGCATTGGCTGGAGGGAGCTGAGCACCCGGTTCTTGTGTGGACTGACCACAAGAATCTGGCTTACATCCAGTCAACAAAACAGGCTAATCCTCGCCAATCCAGGTGGTCAATCTTCTTCTCTCGATTCAACCTAATCATCTCCTACAGACTCGGATCCAAGAACGTGAAGCCCGATTCTCTCTCTCGTCTCTACTCCGTCGATCATCCTGAGACTCCTGAACCTGTCCTTCCGGCATCATGTACAGTGGGAGTGGTCAACTGGGAGATAACAGACCTCATTAATTCAGCCCTGGCCACTGAACCCAACCCAGGTAACGGCCCATCTAACCGTACATATGTCCCATCTTCTGTCAGGTCCCGTCTTATCCAGTGGATGCATGCCGCCAAATTCTCAGCTCATCCAGGAGTCAGTAGGACAGTTGCCCTCATCTCCAGACGCTTCTGGTGGCCCACTCTCCACAAAGACGTTAAGGAGTATGTGTTGGCTTGCCCCACATGTGCCCGTAACAAAGCCTCACACCAACCTCCTTCTGGCCTGCTTCAACCACTTCCTGTTCCATCGCGTCCATGGTCCCATGTCGCCATCGATTTTGTCACCGGTCTCCCAGTCTCCCGAGGTATGTCCACTATACTCACCATAGTTGATCGTTTTTCGAAGTCCTGCCACCTTGTTCCCCTCAGAAAGCTTCCTACAGCCTTCCAGACCGCTCAACTCCTCATTAAGCATGTTTTCCGGCTTCATGGCATCCCCCAGGAGATCCTCTCGGACAGAGGTCCTCAATTCATCTCCCAGGTATGGAAAGCTTTCTGCTCTGCGCTCGGCTGCAAACCTTCTCTCACCTCAGGTTACCACCCCCAATCGAATGGTCAGACCGAGCGCATGAACCAACAGCTGGAATCCACCCTCCGCTGCCTCACGTCAAGTAACCCCGTGGACTGGAGCCAATTCCTTCCGTGGATTGAATATGCCCACAATTCCCTCCGTTCTGCATCCACTGGACAGTCCCCATTCCAGGTCAGTCTCGGATATCAACCACCTCTTTTCCCCGCAGATGAGAGAGAGATATCGGTGCTATCCGTTAATCATCACATCCGTCGCTGCCAGAGGATTTGGAGGGAAACCATCGCCACACTCAATCAGTCATCTGCATCTGCAAAACGTTTCGCCGACGCCAAGAGACGTCCCGCCCCCGAGTACTCTGAGGGCCAGGAGGTGTGGCTCTCCACTCGAGACATCCCCCTCAAGGGGATGTCTCGAAAACTCTCCCCGAGATTCATCGGACCATATAGAATCTCTCGAGTCATCAACCCCTCAGCTGTTCGTCTCCAGTTACCTCAGTCCCTCCGAATCCACCCTACATTCCACGTTTCCCAGATCAAGCCCGTCTCTTCGAGCCCTCTGTGCCCTCCGTCCGACTCCCCAACACCCGCCCTGGAGGTCGATGGCCATCCGGCCTTCAACGTGCGCCGCATCGTAGACTCCCGTCGACGAGGTCGTGGATGGCAGTACCTCGTCGACCTGGAGGGCTACGGACCGGAGGATCGCCAGTGGGTCCCAGGCTCGTACATCCTCGACCCGGCACTCATCGAGGAATACGAGCGTTCCTGCCCATCAACCTCTTCCGGACCGCCAAGGGGCGGTCGTTGAGGGGGGGGTACTGTTGGGAGCTGGAGAAAATCCCATCTTTCTCCAGCAGAGTCCGCCGTGGATCCTCTGAGGGAGCCTCCTGCACAGCTGCAGCTCGTCAAGATCATCAGAGGATCCACTACATAAGCTCTCTTCAGACCTTGCCTCAACGCCGCAGTGTTGTTCCAGTTGGAAACCTGTGCCTCCTCTGTGAAAGCTCTGGAAGAGCTAACCTGCCGAGCCGACCCTCTGAGCCAAACCCTGAAGACTCACAGAGAACCCCCAAGCAGCTCAAGACTAGAGCTGGGAAATCTAAGCCAAGGTCTGTTCAAGCTAAGACGCGAGACGCTGAAGCAGCAAACGGACTCTGCTGACAAACTCTTCTCCAGAACCAACAGTGACTCTCCCAAAGTAAACCTCAAGAACCCTCAAGGTACAAACAGTGAACCTGTGGAAATCAAACCCTGTCAGCAGTCACTAACTGTGCTGTCTCTCACGCAGACTCCGGTGAACCAGTATCCAGGCCCGAACCAGAATCAGTACATTCTGTGTGTTTTGTGCTTAAATAAACTGTTCAACTTTTCATTCTTGTGTCCGTCAGTGGTGTTCTGCATAACTGGGTCTCCTTTAGTGAACCCATCATGACAGTTTAGTGGATCTGAGGGACAGGGAACGTGGGTCGGAATGAAGACAGTCATATGGAAAAAATATCCAGGCATTAATGTTGTACTTATAAATGAGAATGCAGATCAGTGAATAAGCTTTGATTATATTTGTGTATCCATAAAGAATAATGTTTAAAATAAAATTACAGACGTTTTTGCCTGTTTCTTTATGGATGCAGAGCAAAATACTAGAGCTAAAACAAAGCAGATGTGACAAGATGTTTCCTCCTCCGTTCGTCTGTCTCTTTGTCAAAGTTTAAATGAGCCTTAAACATTTTAACAGTTCCCTAAAGTCAGCAAAGTTAACAAAACTGTTCGTACGTGTCTGACCTGTTATGCAGTGTTTACAGAATTCAGCAACTTTATTGCAAACGTATTGAGTTTAGCAACAAATCAGGCAGAAAAAGTTCCTACAAACTGTAGTAAGTCTTATTAAACTGTAATAAGATTTTCTTCTGCTGCTTTAGTTTTTGCATTTCTGGGAACTCTATCAGTTCCTGCTCAGACCTGCTATACGCTTGTTGCGTATTTAACCTTCCTGCAGTTTGTTTCACAGCTTTTCTAACACAGTAAAAACACCAACTGTACATTTGAAAGAGTGTACTTACCGAGCAGAACTCTGACAGATGCTTCCTTCATTGTGGCTTTCAGGGTCTGGACTGATCTTCACTGATTGTCATACATACAAAGTTAAACCCACCCTCTTCCTTTATGAGGCAACAGAAACCAATTTCTAATAAGTAAAAACTGTTGTTGTGGAAAAGATCTTTTTGTATAATAAATAGTTATTCTAATAATTATGATGGGAAGATTTAGGCAAAACATTACTGTTTACTTTTTAAATGAGTGGAAATGAGATGCAGGTGATTATTTTAGAGCTAATGCCACTGGTGGACTGGAGGTCAAGGAGAGACTGCTGACACCAACCCTGGGTGTGTTAGGGCCTTGTGGAATTATCTTTTGCCTTGGCCTATTTTATGAAATAAAATGTTTTGAGTGTGCCTGAAGTGTTTCTTGCAAGAAATGCTTCCGTCTCAGCTTCCTAACTTCAAAGCCTTCAAGGCCTTTACTGTGGCCTAAACTCAATCAGAAACACTAACCTAGATTAACAACTTTAATTTTCTTCTTTCCAACTGTATATATTTATTCCAAACAAAGATTCTCTTGACTGCACTACAGTATTTCCATGACTTATTTCAGCATTCTGCTTCATCTCTCTGCTTTTTCTCATAGTAGCTTCATCTGGTCTGTTCCTGTTTGGCTGTGACGTCATCCTGGAGAGAAATATCAGCTGTGCTGCTGCCATCAACACCTTTGTTTATAGATGTTGGAGATTGGCCTGTTTTCCAGTGAAGTCCTGTTTCTCTGACTGTGACTAATTGGATGTGCTCTCTTCATCCTCGGAGCTCGTCTGCCTGGCTGTGTGTTTCCTGGACGGGGCCGCCTTTTACAGCTGCTTTTTGCATCTCTGCTTCTGTCTCCTTAAACCCCAGTCGGCCTCAGCAGTCTTTGTCGTCCGCTCTATTCAGCTGGTTTTGGAAACATACAGCGAGAAGGTGGGGGCTGGGTGGTGAGGGTTACAGAGGCGAGAAACGCAATAGTAAAGCAATAGTTAGTTTTACTAGTAACTAGTTACTTTTATTGCGGAGTAACTCAGTTAGTAACTCAGTTACTTTTTGGGAGAAGTAACTAGTAACTATAACTAATTACTTTTTCAAAGTAACGTTGCTAACACTGTTAAGGACCAACCAAGGATCAGCCAAGGAACAGCCAAAGGCCCATCAAGGAAGGTAGGGAAATTTTGAATGGCTTTCAATAGTGTTTTTATATGATGCTACTTTTAATTATTATTACTGATTATTTATTCATTCTATTAGTTATTTATCTTATTTGTCCCAAATTGTAATATTTCCATTCATGTCCTTTAATCAGTTCTTATTGTTGTTAAAGAGCTTTAGAAATAAATTATTTTTGTTTTGTTTTGTTAAAACAGTCTACAATTCTTGTTATTTTTCTTTTATTCTTGTGTAGGCGTGTTTTACACTTTTCTCTAATTATTCACTGGATTGCTGATAGACCGAAAATACTGAAGTTACCTGCCGCCATTTCTACTGGCTGTTTTATCACAAGAGTAATCTGATTTCGGGTAAATTGTATTACTTTACGCCAAAAGGGGGCACTATTTGTTTGCCAAAAGTGGTGATGTGCCCCTAACAGATGGGAAGCAGTACACCAGTTACAGATAACAGTAGATGGTTATAGATGTAACTGATAAAGTTTTTCTTGTCATTACAGTGTTACTACAGAATAAAACCCCTGTCAACTTGAACCCTCACAATTATTGTTTTATTTATGTCTTGGACTGAGTAACATTTACTTGTTTTGTCCAGCAGAGAGAGCTGCTCTTTCAGAAATCAGCTCCCTTCCTTTGATGCTGAGGTTTGACATCCCCTTTCATTATAAAGGAAGACTTTCAGTCACTGAGGCTCTGGAGTATTGACATAGGAGCCTTTAAACCAGGGTTTCACATGTCACCCCAAAGATAACAATGCAACAGACCCTAAAAATACTGACTTTTAATTTAGATTAAACTTTATTTCATACACAGTGGGGGAAAAAAGCATAATAAAAGAATAATAATAATAAAGTTACACAAAAAAATGCATCATATGAGTCCATACAATGCAAACTTAACACAGTGAGCTGAGTCCAGTGTTGGTCAGGGCAACGGTGATGCTGTTTGCAGATTAGGACTTTGCATCACTGCAGAGTAAGAAGCCAGACTTACGCCTGTGAACACTCTGCTGGCACTATTCCATCATGGGATGCTGCAGTATTTGCACTGATCATTATATCTGCATTTAGTCTTTTCAAACTGCAGCTATGTTGCATTGCAGGAAGTCTTAAAGAATTTTATCCTAACATGTTTTCCAAAACTGTTGATCACAATATCAGTCTGGTTTTGTCTATAAACGTCCTTCTGATCTGATAGGTCTGCAGTCACACCAAAACCTACATTCCTCAATGATATTTAGCTTGTTGCCAGACAGGCTGGACTCCTCTCTGCTCCATACAGCCATAGCAGTGCTAACCTATCCATCCATCCATCCATCCATCCATCCATCCATCCATCCATCCATCCATCCATCCATCCATCCATCCATCCATCCATCCATCCATCCATCCATCCATCCATCCATCCATCCATCCATCCATCCTTTCTGACACGCTTAATCCCTAGTGGGGTTGTGAGGGGTGCTGGTGTCTATCTTCAGCTGTCTATGGGCAAGAGGTGAGGTCCACCCTGGACAGGTCGCCAGTCAATCGCAGCAGTGCTAATCCTAGAATGTAATTTTAAATCAGTAATCCAGTAATATATGGACAAATGATCACTATATCATCTACATACATAGTGATAATTCTGTTACCAACGCTGCAGCCTTTACCATG